TACCATTATACCACTATCACAGTCTTCATTGGTTTCTTTTTACCAGCAAAGAAATTTGAAGTCGCTCCTTCAGAATAGTCCTCAAATTGCTGCCTTGTTCTATCAAAGGATGCACTTGAGGCTCTTGCAAAATCTGGAAAATAGATAAATAAATTGTTTGCAAAGGAAGTTTTTATTTAAAACCTTGCCTTGAGGCTCTTGCAAAATTCTGGATAAAAGACATAGGTAAAATTGTGCAAGTGGTTGGTAAATTAGAGCTTACCTTGATCAGTTGCTTCTTGTTGAAGTCTTGTATCCAAATAGTCTGTACTAGGATCTTCTGATTTGTTTGCAGTTTTGTCAAACAAATTTGAAGCACCGGAGTTGTCTTCAGTCCTGGAGGTATCTGTGAACATAAATTCGCTTTTGCGGAATTCCTCGACACCTAAAAAACCAAAACCAAGGATCAAATGATGATCATCCTTTGTCTATTACCAAAAGACCATTATCATTTTACCTGGTAAAGCTCCATATGAAAAGCTCCTCAATTTGGCAGTCCCTCGTTTTCTCCGGTGACTGATATTAGAGATTCCTGAATTATTAGGTGCAATGTTTGTCCTGGTTCGTCCAGGATGATCATCAGGTTGGTCATTAGTTGTCGAAGAGTCTAAAGTCGTTAAATCGTATTCTGTTGAATTTTGCTGGCGGTACAACTTTGCCAAGATTCTGTGGGTGGATGCTTTGAGATACCTAAGGAGAAAAAAAATACATAGATAAAAAAATTCTTGATTTAATTTAGAGCCTAAGTTTGTTTTTATTATTTATTTTTTGTTGTATATATAAAAAGATTCGATAAAACTCGAAAACGGCTGAACCGATTTGGCCACAGTTTAGTCTTGAAATACTGGTGCTAACCCAGAGGTTGCTGAGAAATTATTATATATATCATTATATATATATATGTATATATATATGTATATATATATATATCTATATACCTACACATTTATATTTTAATTAGAAACACAGTACCGTCATTAGTCCGTTCCTCAACAGTTGATCAAATATGATTTCTCGTTCTGTTGCACAAAAACTGTTATTCAAATAATAAATATTTGCAATTATTAATATCAATATAAATATTAATATATGCAAAAGTACTGACACACAATCTCTGTCACGAGATTAGCAAATAACGCGATTTTTAATCTACGAGCAAAATTAATTGGAACAAACGGTCAAATATGAATAATTTATATGCAAGAAATATTTAGATGTTTTTGTATAATATATAACACAAAATCTGCATTGGGATATTCAATAAGTTTTTTAAAAAAACCTTTAAATTTAAAAAAAAAACTTGCAATAAATTTATTACAAAAAATATTCAATAAAAAATTCACACTAAAGTTATTACGAAATAAATAAATATAAAATTAATAAATAATCAAATATAATAAGTCAGAGTATAATTTAATAAATAATGACAAAAATTTACATAAATAAAGTAATAACAATTAGATAAAAAATTAAATAAACATGTAAGAAAAATAAGATTACAAATAACTTCTAATTTATTACATATTTACAAATAATTTATTTAATTTTGTAAAAATTATTTTTAATA